CTCCCTTTAATAAGTATATTATCTCCCTTTATATTGTAAAGCACTGTGAAACATGTTGGCAGTATATACAGATAAATCCTGTATAATAATAATATTAATTTTCAGGTTGGTTTAAAATTAAAAAAATTAAAAAATGGAATGCAATATCATTGATCCGAAGACTATGAAAAAGGTTTTTTATGTGGATAGTCACATAGTGTACAATATGATGTCCCTGTTGGAATTACATTTTTTATTTTGGAGACTATGACAGAAGGAGCTGGAACTCACAAGAGAGGCAGGAACAACCTAAATTCCTAGGTGGACAAGAACCCAAGGGTCAGCAATTATCGCAGGGAGATCTCATGCTTATGAGTATCCCAGACATATAGGAAACCAGGAGCTAACTCAGCTAATCAAGCATCGCCTATACAGAATACATCAATTTTGTGTGAAATGGCCCTTTAAGCAGGCCCCAAAAACCTTACAGTGCTACTACCAGTCAGTGGTGTTGGCGCAAAGCAGGTGGGATCCCCGGAATCAGGGTGTATACTGTACATTTAAAGTGGTTCTAAAGCCTTAAGGTTTTTAACCTTAATGCATTCTATGCATTAAGGTGGAAAACATTCTGTGCTGCCGGATCCCCCCCCCCTCAGGCCCCCCTTATACTTACCTGAGCCAGTTCTTATCCAGTGATGTGTATGAGAGCAGTGGCTCTGGCCGCTGTTTCTATCCGCACTGGGCAGATTGATAGCAGCGGGAGCCATGGGCTCCCACTGCTGTCAATTAAATGCTGTGCCAAGTGAGCAGGGGGAAGGGGCCAAGCCGCTTGCTCTGTCAATGGACACAGACAGGGTGGCTTGGGAGCGACCCGCACAGGTGCCCCCATGGAGAGTGACTTTCCTTAGGGGCACCTGCCAAATAGGACTAAATAAGGAAGGGTTGTAACAGCGCAGACACTGCAAAGTCCTGGGAAATGGTAGTATGGGGTGATCGTGGTATTAGTGGCTACTGTATGAAGAGCGTAGGATTCCGTGTGGCACTGAGGGCAAGGCTTCCAAATAAGCTGTAGCAAGTTCTGTAGATGAGAAAAAGGATAGAAGCGCCTTAAGTGCAATAAGTCTTTTAATTCAAGTCTAAATGTAGAAACACTCACATGTGTGAAGTAATCATAAGCTTAAAAACCGTGGTTAACAATAGTTAACGGTGGGGTGGTAACCCGGGTGAAGAGCTTGAAAAAGGAGTGCACTTCCGCCTTCCACAGCCAGTGCATGCTCCAAAACGCATCGCAGTGCACCCTGGGATCTGACATCATCACAGCCACGCCGCCGCTACGTTCCAGCGTGGGTTCCATCCGGCTCTGAGGGAGGACGTGCACGCCGGCCGGCCTCACCGCTGTTCCCCTCCAGCCACCACGCTGTTCCAGCCGAGAGCTTCCCTCTCCACATCGCAGTAAGATGACGGCTCTTCACCCGGGTTACCACTGCCAAATAGGACTAGTCTGAAGCCCCAGATGGGGACCCCATAAGGAGAGGATTGGGGCTGCTCTGTGCAAAACCACTGCACAGAACACATAAGTATGATATGTTTGTTATTTTAATTTTCTTTTAAAAAATAAAGTTTAAATGTTGCTTTAATTCTGACCCAACATGCAGAAATCAGAAGTCATCAGACCAAGCAAAAATTTTTGTTAAATTTAGGTGATCCTCAATAATATATTTTTCTTTACATTTAAGTGGGACTAAACCCTTATATCCTTTACAGCCAAGGAAGCTGTCATCTTAGCTTCTGTTTGACCTGCAGTTGCCATGGTACTACACATGTGATGACGCTGACCATTTGATGGCTTGACAGTTCGATTGAGAGCACAAGCAACTGTGACAATTATCATTCACGGCATTCCTTGAATGTAATTGTTTTGGCAAACAGCTAAAGCAATGAGTTTAATTCCACTTTAAGTTCACAAATGGCATTAGACGAAAGCGCATGAGAATGAAATGAAAGTGTAATATTTTTATATGTACACAAACATTTATATACAAAAAAGAGACCCACACAGAATATTCTTGCAGACTTTGGGATCAGTGAAATACAAATACATTGCATCGTGATTATTTTTAGCTTTACATCTTTTTGAACCAAAACTAACCTTTTCTGCTCCACTCTTTGTTGTTATTTACTTGAGGTGATTGTGGCCGTATTAGTGCACTTGCGACAGAAACAATTGAGTACTGACGTGATACTTTTTTTATTTGCATTATTTACTTGAATTCTCTCTGTATCAGAGGTACCAGGCTGAGCATCAAGCTTTTAGGCCATCCTGTCTCCTGTCTGGAATCATTGCTGATAGAAGACACTCATAGGACTGCAATATAACAAGGTATTGCTAGAATTAAATTAAAATGTTTTTGTTTATTTAGAGATTTATCCTCATCCAACTACCCAGAGTGTCTGAAGAGATGAGCTAATTTATCTAGGTTTGGTTCATTAACAGTATTTCTAATCTTGTTTGAAGTTCAAAAGTTTGCAAACTTTGTGGCAAACATGAAGGAGGGGGCAGATTGGGAATCTTTTTATTCAATCCTGGCCATTTTTTGAGTTTAGAAGCAAATAATTGTCAAAAAAATTATATATCTTAGATTGTAAACTCCAAGGAGGAGGGCCCTCCTAACCCTCTTGTATTGAACTGTATTGTTGCTGCATTATCTCCTTTTATATTGTAAAGCGCTGAGAAAACTGTTGGCGCTATATAAATCCTGTATAATACTAATAACTCAAAAAGCTATAATTTCTGGGGAAATTGTGTGAAGTGTTCTTGCCTCCACCAGTACTCTACAACTGGGCAGAGTAACTTTATGGAGTGGGCAGAGTAACTGTGTGGAGTGGGCAGAGTAACTGTGTGGAGTGTTTGGAGTGAGTAAAGAAAGTACACATTACCCTAACCAATTGATTGATCAAATTTAAAAAGTGCACATGGCAAACTTGATAGAGTGAGAAATGCATTTCAACTTTTAATTATTTATATTTACACATTTAATTGCAATGTTGTTGCCCAAAGTGCTTCACAGTTACATTAAAACATACATTTATAAAAACATTAGCAGCATTATCACCTCAAATACTCACTACTGTAGAAAACTTATTTCCAAACCTTTAACCAGAAGCCGGCCAAACTGTCACGAATTCAAAATTAGATTTCAAATCATGCAGAGAAGTGCGGTTAAAAACAAACTGCTCCAAATTGCTCACTGCACTGGCATCTTCAAATGGTCATAATTTTAAAAACTATAAATCCTACAGCAAAAAAGATTTATATTGTGAGAATCACAAGACCCAGACCTACATTTTGATGCATAGTATGTCTCTGAAATATTAAAAATGAAGGCACAGTCGCAATTTAGAAATTGCCCTTCAAATTTGAGGTGGCTAGAGTGGAGTTTCAATGAATGTCAATGGGCGGCGTGAGTTGCAAACAAATGGTCATATTGTGAAAACTATCAGGACTATGGCTTAGCCGTGGACATTTTTAGTGGCAGCAGGGATAGCTCAACGTTTTGATATACAATTTGTGTAGGTGGGCTTGAAAATGAGGGAGTGATGGCAGTTTAGAAATCATGTCCTGATTTTTCAGCTCACACTCTAGCTTTTGTCAGCTCCCACTCTAGTTTCGAACATTCCACCATTCATTCCTATGGGACCAATTTCACCACAAAAACGCCGATATTTTGTGAACCATTCGGTGAAACGTTCCACAAAGTAATAGCACACCAATCGGGAACAATCCGCACGTTTCGGTATATTACTGTCTATGTAGTGTAAAAACTGTGGGAGGAGTTAGGGTGGTAAATTTGGCTATAATAATAAGAATATATATGTGAGATAACAGTAAGTGGTCTTGCCATGCAAGAACACTTAATAAGAAGCTGGGTACTGTCATGAGGACACACACTAATGCCAAAATTCTCTCCTGACACAGAATTGTCTGCTGTCTCTAAAAGCTCCAACACACACTGACAATATGGCCAGTGGTGTATTTAGTACCCCCTGCCCTCGGTCCCGCCACTCTCAACCAAACAACACCCCCCCCGGCCCTCATCGCCGCCACTCTCTGCCAAGCACCTTTACCCCTTCCCCCATCCCACCTGCAGAAAGAGAGAGTTAGTCAAGTACTAACCTCACCCAACCTCACCGGAAAGCAGCCGGCCATTCCCGGAGCCAAGCCCAGGAGCAAAGGTTTATGAACCACATTATAGGTTGTTACTTTTTGTTGCCAGCTAGCCTGTAAAGTTTTATGCCAAAAGTTCACGATTTCCAATATTTGTGAACCCATGGTAGCAGAGAACCTGAACCTCATCCCTAAGTGTCAGTCACATGCCCTGAGCTCTGGCAGGGGACCGGTCAGTTTCTTTGAAGACCCTACAGCTTGACACTAAGCTTACATTTCTGGTCCAACAGGGAGAAAATACAAGTGACTAAAAGCACACACCTAGATAAGCCTGCACTGGTACACTTAAGAGCTGATAATCAGATTACTATAAAAGCCTATTCCTGTCTGGTTTATGTTTTATTTTTATTTGGAGCTTTCTAATTGACATACAACCAAGAACCTAATACTATTCTTTTAAGAATAGCCAATACCTTACTTGTCGGTGGTGGTTGACATTAATGTTTCGGAATGCAGTTCGAAATACGAAACAGAATCCCCAAGATTATTAGCAATGTGGTAGAACATCGGAGTAAGTGTCTGTGTCAGCAAAGATCAATCAGATTTCTTTCAGGTGCAACTGACCTGCATTTGAGCTGCTTTTGCATTGCCATTTACTTGTTTGGGAAGATAAGCAGTTCTAAAGCAAGCAAAAGCCTAACAATGGTCTCAAGGAAGTTCTTGTGTCAGGAAACTAAATATTCTTAACCAAACTTGTTTCTGGTAGGGCTCACTCTCAGAGACTATTTAATCAATTGTGTTGCTCTGTTGCACACGCAGATCATTTATTTTGAGTGGCAGAAGTAGATTTGTTAGAATATCAGAACTGATATATAGTGAGGGACTTATTGATCTCTCAAAATATGATGTTAATTATAATCCTCAGTGCTGTGAATTATCTAGGCCAGTGTTTCTCAACAACCTTTTTTCAGTCAAGGCACCCTTTAAAATTATGGAGAGTATTAAGGCACCCTGTTCTAAAATGGGGTGCCTCAAGACTGTCCATAATTTTAAAAGGGCACCCTGTTCTAAAATGTGAAAAACTATTCTAATAGTTTTATATAACGCAGCAACATCCACACACATGTAGGACACTTTAATTTGAGGTGATTTATTCTTCCAAAGCAAATACACTTTTGCACACTAGTACTGACTAGTATTCCAGTGTTTCTCTTCTCCCTCAGTTTTTCTCCATCACTGAGCTAATGTGACCCCAGCACTGATGGAGAGGGGTGGGGGAGGGTCAAATTTGGATTCTGTGCAGGGAACTGACATCCTCCTTATCAACGGATGATGTAATTGGTTGTCAGGACTCTGGCGACTAGAAGGTAGTAATGGTGCACAATGAAAATCTGTGGCTTTGTGTACCTAAAAGGCAGGCTTTTTCCACCCGCTGGCTCATATACAAGTTTTGGGCAATTCCTAGACATTTTGCCAAGGCACCCATGAAGAAACCTCAAGGCACCCCAAGGTGCCTGGTACCCTGGTTGAGATTGACTGATCTAGGCCACTACACTACTACCCAGTTGTTTTAAGTAAATTAAAATATTGTAAGACATTTTTCTTCTTTTATTATATGCTCACATTTTTTTAGATAAATACATATAGAGATTCAAGCTGAGAGTGGTTGATGAAGTTCGGTCTTTAGACAAACGTTGGTTGCATTTCAGACATTGATTAACCAGGCGGTCATACTCATAAAGGGCTTTCTTAAAATGAAAGAAATTAAAGTCAGAGCTATTTTTTGAGTAAACCTTTCAGTAACTTTTTGGCCTCATGCACACAGGGCGTTTTTGCAGCCACTTTTAGGGGCGTTAGGCGTTTTGTTTTTCTTCTTACTGCTTTGTAGTGGCCCTCCATGTTATCCTATGTGTCAATGCACACATAGATTTTTAGAAGCTTTTAGTAGCTGTAGCGTTTACTAGCAGGAAAAATACCCAGGGCCAGTGTGTCCAGGAGCAGCAGTGTTTTGGCAGAAAAAATGCTTGTCACATGTAAACGTGTTTGAATGCACCTAAACGCATGGTAATGCTAGGAGAATTTAGCATTTGAGCGGTAATTAATTTCAATGGCCAGAAAAAATTATTATTCTGGCCAATGAAATGAACTAAGGCCCAAGTACTTGACTTTGATGATCAATTGTGACCCGCTTCCACTTCCACTGCGATTGCCTATTTGATTGGAAGCAGAAGTTGTCCTCCACTAGCATCCAGGTCTCACATCGAGCACCTGTCCTTTTGCATTCTGAACACAGGAGGTTGGTGGCTGGGCACAAGCACCATTCAGAGAATGGTTCGCATTTTCTGGAATCCAAAGTTTTCTGACTGGATAAGGTGGAGAGGCGGAGCAGTGATGTCACGCTCTCCAGCTCGTTCAGTCAGAGAATGCAAACAAGGAATTGTGCTTTTCACATTAATAGCTGTCATCTGCATGCTTAAGCAAATCTCTCCTTCCCTTCCTAACTGTCCCTTGCAATGAGCCTGATAGTTAAGGCATACTCACACTAGTTCAGGGGAAAGCTTTGAGAGGTTGAGATCTACCTGAACAACACAAAAGAGATCAAAGATAATCCAGGTTCTGCACCCTTTTTTTAAAGAAATTAAACAGCAAGGCCTTACTAAGTAGTAAGGAACATTTCGAAAAATATAATGAAAAACAAATATCACTATAAAAGTATAAACTTAGCCGGACAGTGTCAGTCACTAGAGCAGTGGGCAGTGTCAGTAGGGCAGAGGTTGGTGTCAGTAGGGCAGAGGATGGTGTCAGTAGGGCAGTGGATGTTGGATTGTGCCATTAGGGCATTGGACTTTGTCAGTAGGGCAGAGGACAGTATCAGTAGAGCAGTGGATGGTGTTAGTAGGGCTTAGGTTGGTATCAGTAGGGCAGAGGACTTTGTCAGTAGGGCAGAGGACGATGTCAGTAGAGCAGTGGATAGTGGCAGTAGGGCAGAGATTTGTGTCAGTAGGGCAGTGATGGTGTTAGTAGTTTAAATTTTTATTGTTTTTTTAACAATTTTATTATGTATTATTTTTTACATTTTAATTTTTTTTAAAAATTTTTAACAGCCCTGTTGTAGGAGCTTTAGTGAAATATCAAGGGACTAAACAGACCCCTGGGAAAGTGATCAAGGACACAGCTGTCAATCTCCATCTCTGCAGCCTCAGAATACAGAATGAATGAACACAGTTTACTATGCATCAGTTATGAATGAACACAGTGAGTAATCGGTACTGATCACTCACTGTTTTCATTCAGAAAAGGAAGGGGCCGGTAAATGACATATTTACTGGCCCCTTCCCCCACACTCCATTCTGAAATCCCCACAGCAGGCATCAAGGGAGGGGGGAACCCGGGAGAGCTGTGGGTGACGAGTGGGCGGGTAAGAGCACAGCTGGATAGGAGGAGCAGCAGGGTTGGCTGCATATAGAGGAATCTATCTCTTTATTTCCTCCTGCAGCCACTGAATGCCCGCTCCTCCTCCTCTCCCTCCCGCAGGCATGGAAAGGCAGGCAACCCAAGAGGAAAATGGAGAGATTGATTACTCTATATGCAGCCAACCCCACTGCTCTTCATATCCAGGCATACAAGCAAAGCCGGTGCAAGGATTTTTGCCTACTCAGGCGAAATGTCATTTTTCTGCCCCCCATCTTTCAGCCAACCTGCGCTGGTACTGCTGCCCAACCACTCCCCCGTCTATCAGACACCCCTTGCTGATACAACTGTACCCCCATCCTCCAGCCACTCTGCACTGGTACTACTAGACCCCCTCTGTCCTCCAACTGCCCCATACTGGTACTGCTAGACCCCCCTCTGCCCTCCAGCCACCCCACACTGGAATTGCTGTACCCCCCTCTGCATCCAGCGATCCCACTGGTACACCCCCCAAATCCCCAAGTGGCTGGGGATTTGGATTTTACTGCCCCCTTCTGGCACCCTAGGGCGGCTGAGGCCAGCTCTGCCAGTCAGCATGGTTTGGAGATGGAGTTCTTGTCCCTAGAGAAGATGGTATTCCTGCCCCTAGGGAAATTGGGGTCCCCGTCCTTAAGGGAGATGGGGTCCCTGTCCCCAGGTGAGGTGGGGTCCCTGTCCCCAGGTGAGGTGGGGTCCCTGTCCCCAGGGGCATTGGGTTCCTTTTCCGCAGGTGAGATGGGCCCCTTTCCCCAGGCGAGATGGGGTCCCTATCCCCAGGAGTGGGGTATGGGATGGTGTATGGGGAAGATGGGGACATCTCACCCACTGTGACCAAGCTGCAGGGTGGGGTTGATGGAGTGCAGGTACTAGATCCCAGCCAGTATGGTCTGGCTGTGCTACCTGGCTGTTGGTGAGGAAGCATACTGTGCTGCAGCTGGCCGCCCTCCAATCAATCATCCATGGTTGCTTGGGCTCCTTCCAGTAGTACAGACAGAGTGATCAGCATGAGAGGATGCATCTTCTGCTCCATAAGGAGGGAGATCTGTGTATGATGGGCAGAGAAGCGGGGCCTGAAAGACAAGCCTGCATTGTCGTCAGGGGACCCAGATATCATAGGGCTGCACCTGTGTGCTAGATCTTTTGCACGGTGCACCAGAGGGCTCTGTACAAAGGAGGTGATGAAAGTGACTGCGGGGGGAGGGAATCTGACTGGGGTGCTCTATGGAGCAGGACAGAGGGACCAGCTGAGGACATGGGGAATTTGAAACTGAATAGCAGCCAGTTCAGTAGGGCATGGAGCTCTGCTACCCACACACATCCTCCATCCACCCGAGCACTAGTACTGCCACCCACCAGCCACCCAGTTGCCTATGCTGCCTTCTTACAGGGGGGGCCATACGGGCCCCCTGCAGCTCAGGGCCGGGTCACAGTTGCGACCCCTGCCACCCTGCAGCTACGCCCCTGCTGATTATTGCATAAAACAAGGAGATGCCCAGCAGCAGTCTCAGGGCTTTTGGATGTCTACACAACATTAAATGCACATTTACGTTTGTACTGCTTTCACAGAATTTGGACAATAGTTCACTGGGTTCACTGTCCTTGTTCTTGCTGATGCATAACTGTCCTCCCGCTGGCCATTTTTTATCAGGCTAACATTAGGAATTAGGAGACTGCAGATGATACAGCAACAAAAAATTAAACAGCAGGACTTTTTCAATGAGGGAAAATTTGCCAAAATGTACTATTTAAATGTACAGGCAGGTGTTTTATTACAAGAGTTCAGAGAACACAGATGACCCAGCAGTGTAAAACTGGCCAGCAACAGTACTATTTAAGATAACAAGACTAAACTCAGTTTTACTAGAGATAAAGAGCACAGACTGGGGCGTTACTACAAGAATTAGGATACTGCAGAGGATACAGCGTTGTAAAATTGGCCAATAGCAGGACAGTTTTAATCAGGGATAATAGGCCTAACTGGTACATTCCTAACAATATTCAACGGAGATAAGCAGAAATGTTATATGTGAGTGGTATAATGTGAGGTGGTTTGGGTGCACACTGTTCTTGCAGTTAGTTTTTCTCCTTTCAAACAACGTAGCAGAGTGCTGTGAGCAAAAGGCAGCTTACAGAATAGATTGTCAATAACAAGTGAATGCTCAGTTTAAAGCAACCCAAAATGCAAAATGGCCCTATTAACATAAAAAACCCACTACTGAAACAACAGACCGCTTTATTTAAACAAACCTTACCTCCTGTATTATTAATGTCTGTCACCCACAGAACCACTTCTCACTGGATATTTTTATTGCACTATTGTCTGTTAACTCTGCAAAGGTGACACCTTAATACAAGTTTGGGAAAAACAAACTGTTTTTGTACCTTCAGTTTCCTGTCCTTAAGCTTTGAATGGTGTACTATAACTTTTCTATGCTCATCTCACTGTCCTTATGAATGTGAATTGGTTAATTAGACATGGTGTAAGGTCCATTTCTCAGCACTCTGTACTGTGGCAGAGTATGGTCCTTTTTCACACTCTTATCATTGTTCTTCCAAAATAAAATTGGTTTAACTTGTACTGTAATGGAGTATAGTTCATTTTTCCATGCTCAGCTCATTGTCCTTCCAGATGTGGGTGAATAAATTAAAATGTGGTATTATACACTCTGTTCATTGACCTTCCAAATGTGGATGGATGAATTGTACTATTGTGGAGTATAGCCCA